ATCTTTAACACCTCACTTACCCTGGAGACAGTTCCCACCTGCCTGAAGACTGCCACCATCATCCCAGTCCCAAAAAGCTCTACAGTGACTGGTCTGAATGACTATCGGCCAGTGGCCCTCACCCCGATAGTCGCTAAATGCTTTGAAAAACTGGTCATGACTCGCATCAAAACAACCATCAACATCAACGAGGACCCTCATCAGTATGCATACCGTGAGAACCGATCAACAGAGGATGCAATCTCCTCTGTGGTCCACACTGCGCTCAACCACCTGGAGCAGAAAAACTCTTACGTCCGTATGCTCTTTGTGGACTTCACAACCGCCTTCAACACCATGATCCCCCAAACCCTGATGGACAAACTATCCACACTAGGACTAAGCCCGTCCATTTGCAACTGGGTACTAGACTTTTTAACAAACAGACCACAGTTAGTGAGGATCCACAACCTCTCCTCCTCCACCATAACCCTCAGCACTGGCTCTCCTCGGGGATGTGTGTTGAGCCCCCTCCTGTTTACTCTGCTCACTTATGATTGTGCAGCTACCCATCCAGGCTGTCACATTGTAAAGTTTGCAGACGATACAGTGGTGGTGGGATGCATCACAAACAATGATGAGTCCAGCTACAGGCAAGAGGTGGAACACCTGGAGAGCTGGTGCAAAGAGAATAACCTTCACATCAATGTGAAGAAGACAAAGGAGATGATTGTGGACTTCAGAAGGAACAAAAACATCTACACCCCCCTGAACATAAGAGGATCTGCGGTGGAAGTGGTCTCCAGCTACAAGTACTTGGGTGTACACATGAATGACAACCTCAGCTGGAGCAACAACACCACCAGCCTGATCAAGTAAGCTCATCAGAGACTCTACTTCCTCAGACGGCTGAGACAAGCTGGTCTTGGAAGCTCAGTCCTCACCTCCTTCTACAGGTGTGCAGTGGAGAGCATCCTGTGCTCCAGCATCAACGTGTGGCATGGAGGCTGCACAGCTGCAGAAAGAAAAGCTTTGCAGAGAGTGGAGAAGGCTGCACAGAAGTCTGTTGGAGTCGGTCTTCCCACCGTCACAGACATCTACACCTCCAGATCCAGGAAGAGGGCCACCTTCATCATGAAGGACCTCACTCCCCTCAGGAAGGAGGTTGAGAAGCATTAAGTGTAGAATCACTAGACTGAGGAACAGCTTCTACCCTGAGGCTGTTAGACTCATGAATCTCTAACCAGAATAATCAATGTGAAAAATCACATCATGTTGCTGCTGATCTGTTTCAATGTTGATGTGTTCATGCATGCTCATCTGCTCACACAGACTCATGTTCATGTTTGTGCTGATGTAGTGAACTCGGCCTCTGACCAAAACCTGCGTCTGAAGACCTTCATGGGACAGGAACTGTTATTTCATTGATTTGAATCCAGAAATACAAATTAGCTCATCCAGAGACTGTCTAATTGTATCCTTAAGTAATCAATTGAAAGAACACACTTCTTTTTATATTATCATTAATATTTTACAATATCTTGATAAATCAAAAGTGTGTTTAGTTCATATAATTTCTAAATGTTGAACCACTCATTTTAAATCAACTGTGAAACAGTATTAATGATTATTTTTTTTATCCTCATTTAAATTAGAAATCAAGTTAAAAGTCTATTTACAAAGTAATTATGCATTTTGATCTTCTGTCTGAATGAGAAGTAGTGATGTCGGTCAAAAGTCAGAGACAGTCAGAAAGAAGTGTTAGAACGGGCTGTATTGTTTTTAAACCTATCAGACAGTAAATAAGAAGCAAATGGCACCTGCAAAGTTTCTCACTTCCTCAAAACATTTCCTTGTCTGTACTAAACGTTCCTAAACATTCTTGCACTCCTTTTGACTTGTAATAACCCTCTGACATCACTAGAACCACCCCCTGTTGGTTGTTTCAACCAATCAGGAAGTCCTGAAGTGACCGGAAGTGAGAACTCTTTAAAAGTCCACACTTCCTGGAATTTCTAGTCTAGTGAAGTCTTCTGAGTCTTCAAGTCTGTCTTCTAGTCGAGTTGGGGTCTGGTGAGTCTTCTGAGTTTTTGATGGAGTCTTCCACTCCTGAGTGGAACCTCTGACGGACTCACAGCTTGCTGTGTATCCACCCGGGAGATGAGCGTGTTTGTTGAACGGAGTAAACGACACGACTCCTGATGATGGCCAGCCGCTCTTACCGGAGACGCTGGAAGGTAGCATTGAATTGGACCCGCACCGGAGCTGATTAATTTCTGCAAAGGTAACGAGTCGTGACGCGCCAAGTGTACCGGAGGTTTGAGCTGGTGTTGAAGGGAGCGTGCCGTCCTGGTCTGAACAGACACCCCCTTTTACCCATCTTTTCTCTTCATTCCTTCCTTTAAAACTCTTCTATTTTGCCAGTAATCCAGATGCCTTCAGAAATGTCTTATTAGTAAAGCGTGCCAAGTTTTATTAATCAGAACCATATCAGCTAATCACATGTACATGTTTTGATGTTAAATTTTGATTTTGTTAAATAAATGACCGCATTTATTCTGATGGGTCAAAGGAAATTAACGTCTCATGTCACTGATTTAAACACTCCACTCACAGTTATCTCGTCACATGGCCTTAATTTAACTCGAAAAAGAGAGAACCCGTTATATTTAAATAATTAGTAGTGGAAGGTGCAGCTAAGTTGGCCCTGACACCACTACACTGATGTTCAATGTTTTATGCTATTAGTGCTTAGTGTATATTTAGTTGATGTTTTTCTTAGTTCATATCTTAGATGTTATTACTGTTTTTCTTATACATTTTATTGTTGGATGTAACTGGGACCCTGTGTACATAATTTCGCTCCACCACATGTACCCCATGAGGTGCGAATGACAATAAAGAATCTCTGACTCTGGCGTTCAAGGAATGCTTTTTTTTTCTGAATTGAATGATTGCGGTTTTGAGTAATGAACAAGGCTGGGAGTTTTTAAAAGCCTCAGGAATCTTTTGCAGGTGTTTAGAGTTACATTGTTGATTCAGATGGTTAGGTTAATAGCTTGTTTAGAGAACCTTTTCATGATATGCTTTTTTGGGACAGGCATTTTGGGTTTTCATGAGCTGTATGCCATAATCATCAGTATTAAAACAATTAAAGACCTGAAATATTTCAGTTTGTGTGCAATGAATCTGAAATATATGAAAGTTTCATTTTTATCTTTACATTATGGAAAATAATGAACTTTATCACAATATGCTAATTTTTTGAGAAGGACCTGTATAGTGCTGAAAACATGATTAGGAGAGCAAAAATGCACTAAAAGTTTTCTGCATTTATGCTTCTTGCAGTGTGGGTTACCAGGTTCTGTTAAAAAGAAAAGTGAAACTAAGAAAATGTACCTTTTTTAAGTTAAGATTATTTTGAAATTTACAGTAGCAACACAGCTTTTAAATGTTGAGACGGGGTCAACAAAAGGCTGTAAAAGACAAGGAATGTTAAGAAAGAGCTGAAGGAGCATTTTGATTCTAATTAGGGTAAATGGCCACAGGTCATGGAGGAGTGGATTAAAAAAAAGTATTTTAGAGAGGTTGAATCTGTAAAGTAAAGATGGGCAAAGGTTCACCACTCTGTTAAATATGCATCAAAATCTGTGGAATAATTTCAGAATAATGTTCATCAATAGAAAATTGGCAAGACTTTAAATATTCTATTATGTGCTGCTCATAATGCCAACAAAAGATTTGTAGAAATCTTTGTGCATCCAAACTAAACTGAAAGTCAACGTTAGATGGTCCTGATCTTCGGGCCCTTGGGGGCCACTGCATTAAAACCAGGTCTGATTCTGTTCTGGGCTCAGGAACACCTCCACAGATCATTCTCTGTGCACACAGCTCATCCACAGATGATGCTTAAAGCTCTATCAGGCAGAGAAGGAGCCATATGTGAACACCATTCAGAACCGCTGCTATCTTCTCCAAACCAGAGCCCGTTCAAGATGAACTGAGGCAAAGTCCAGAACTGTTCTGTTCAGAAGGATCCAAACCTGAAATTATTTTTGGAAATCACGGATGCCACCTCCGCTGTACTAAAGAGGGGAGGGACCATCCAGCTTGTCATCAGCTCACACTTCAAATCCTGCCTCTCTGATGGTATGGGGGTGCATTAGTGCCTCTGGCATGGGCAGCTTACACATCTGGTTTGGCTTAATGCAGACAAGTGTCAACAGGTTTTAGAACAACATCTGCTCCCATCCAGGAAAGAAGATACAGGATTGTTGAACAACTAGAGTCCTCCATCAGATCAAAATGAGATGACATTCTCCTCCAGAACCTCCAACAACTGGTCTCCTCGGGTCCTCCAGAACCTCCAACAGCTGGTCTCTTCGGGTCCTCCAGAACCTCCAACAGCTGGTCTCCTCGGGTCCCCCAGAACCTCCAACATCTGGTCTCCTCGGGTCCTCCAGAACCTCCAACAACTGGTCTCCTCGGGTCAGAACCTCCAACAACTGGTCTCCTCGGG